TCTCAGGCTTGATTTTAATTTTCTTCAATTGTATCTTTAAAACTATTTTTCTTACAAAAAGAATCAAAACTAACTTTCAAATATCTTTCAAAGTTTAGCTTATTTTCTTCACTGTTAAAATTATATCTTTTCTAATAAAGTTTAGTTGGAAGAAATGTCTCCTACAACAAGACAAATTGTTTCTACAAAAAATAATAATCCACGAAAAAACAATTTCACCGAGAAAAGTCCTGTAACGGTTAATCAGAAGTCCAATATGGTTAAACCAAAAAAGCAAGATTCTACATATCAACCCAAACATTCACGTAAACCATCGAATCAATTCAAGGATAGAAAGCAAAATCAGGTTCAAAATAATAATAAGGATAATAAGGATGATAAATATACAAAGCAGAAAGAAAACGTTGAAAATGTGGATAATGTTAAGTTGGAAATTCAAAGGGTATTAGGTGGCCGATTTATTGATCGTCCTGTTGTGTTTTCAAAGGATTCTAAGTGAGTAATCGGTTTTTTCTTTTTAACATTAATAGGTTAACTTGGTTATTTATATTAGTAGGCGAAGAAAATAATCATTTGTTGATTATATTCAACCAGTTTAATGATAATAAACCTTCGTTTGTATTAATTCAAAGTAGAATTAATTGTAATATATTAATTAGCATATTCAAATTGTTCTCCAATTAATTAAATTGTTATTATTTTAAAGCAATAATTGCTTTGGAATAATTATATCTATTTAATCGTATATGTTCACATTGAATCATCGTATATTTAATTAAGTCGTGATTATATTAATTGATTAAGGCCAATTAATAAACTATTCTTATTTTATTCTCTTATCGACTGCTTTTAGATATTTTTTCTGTTGTTGCTCAAACTCCGTTAAAGTTGTCAGCGTTGAAACTGGTGAAATTATAAAAACATTTTCCATTTCACCAGAAGAAATTGGAAGTCATAAGAAAGATGTAACATTTATAAAGATGGATCCAAATAACGATGACCAGGTAAATTATTTCATACATTAAACTTTTTACCATTGACTATTTACAGGCAAACAATTCACTTATTTATATCTATTCATGTTACTTAGTTATACTCTGCTTCTTTAGATGGCACAATCAAATTGTGGAATTATACACGTCTTATAAGGGTATAAATATATTTCTCTATGTCCAAAAAAAAAAAATAATAATTAAAATTAAATTGATTAAATGCACAGGAATATTATGTGGGTTTGCCAATCCTCCGAATGGAGATGCATGCCGCACATCCAAATCAATTTTTTATTGTAACCCCCGAACCTCAAAAGCCTGATC